GAGACTCCCATTTTCCAAGATGCAGTATAATAAGAATATAAAGATGTATTGATGTTGATAACAATGTATAAAGTTTTATTTTATGTTTTTAAAATTTGGAAACTTAATAAAATTTATTTAAAAAATAATAATATAAATGCTTGCCTACAAACATGTTTATCCTGCCCAGAGTCAAGACAGCATATGCGAGATGAACAGATTTTTTTGTCCAAAACTAAGGCTGTAGCTTTAACAAGTGTCCTCTTCCTGAGGCTGAGAATATTGTTGAGCGTAGGTGTAAATATTTTTGGTCCAAGTTCAACTCTGTCTGTTACACCACAATGACTGTGACAACATAGATGAAAGCTGGGGGAACATTGCATAATATCTGGATTGTGTAGGAAACCCCCTGTTATTGAATAGTTTCTTAGACCATAGAAAATAAATCTTGACATGATTTATACCACATGCTTACCCCAGATTAGTTAAGGAATAACTGCATTCACAATGTGTGAAGCTTGCTTATTATTAACCTTATGTGTGATCATTGCTTTGTTTTTCTTTGTGTTGTGGGGTGAGGAATAGACAGTTCTGCAAAGTCAGCCTCTTTAGGTCTGTGATCCAATGAAATGGGCAAACTAAGAAAAGGGATTTTTCAGGAGCCAGCTTAAGAGGGTTATGTGATCACAATCAATGTCTTAAGGTAAGATTGTGTTCCAAAATTAAATAAAAAATAAATTACAAATGAACGGCAGGGGGATCAGTTGCTCACAGCAGATTTCTGGGTCTTTATTTTATCCTGGTTGGCCATCTGAATTTTAAGAATCCTGGCTCATATATAATGGAGGAAAAGGGAATATCTTATTCTTAAGCATTTCATCTTTATTAATGTATTTTTATTATGAAGACATAGATTTGTATACAATGATGTTTCTGAACTTTTGTGACCAAGTAGCTTGAACTTCGTTGTGGACTGAACTCAAATGTGAGGAGTTTGTCTTCCCAACTTTCCTACTCTGTCCAACTGCTCTGCTTACAGTAGCTGCTAAGGAGTCTTGTTGATAATTTATATACTGCTGAATCTTATGATTCACAATGGTTCAGTTCTTCCCCTGCTAAGATAGTAAGAGAATATATGTGAGGGTTTAGTTGGAAGTTGCTTCATGTTGTGCCAGCATGAGTACCTGCCTAAGGTGGGAGTCAAATTAGACCCAGTGTTGAGTCTGGCCTTAAGTAAGGCTTGTGATATTTTGCCATAAACTCAGGTCCCTCTGATTCAGAGGTGGTATTCAGCAGGTTCTGACCAGTTCTGGAGAACCAGTAGTGGAAATTTTGAGAACCGGCAAATTCCACCTCTGACTGGCCCCGCCCCAATCCATTCTCTGCCTCCCAAGTCCCAGCTGATTGGCTGGGTCTTCTTTTGTTGCCCTGCACAGGAGAACGGAGCTGGAAAGCAGGTTAGTGGGGTGGGGAGGGAATGGAGATTTTACAGTATCCTTCCCCTGCCATGCACACCAAACCACACCACACCCACCAAGCCATGCCCATAGAACCAGTAGTAAAAAAAATTGAATCCCACCACTGCTCTGGTTATAAAAAAAGTGAATGACCTGAGGTAGAAAAGGGAACTGCTAATCCAGATGGGTCATACGGAGTCTAAGCATAGAGAGAGCATGCACAAGAGAACAAAATACCTGGTTTTTCTTTGTAACTGAAAAAAATGCTGTGAGGAACGGGGAAAAAGGCTGTGCAAGAAAGGGTAGGCGAGTCTCTCTCTCTATAAGTAAAAAAGATAAATGTAGGCCAGACAGGCTGTGAACTGCAGCTAAATGTCTGCATGTCTCAGGAAAACTTCTCTGCTGCATTGTGAAGGAATTGGGAGGACTAGGGTGGAAACATCACTGATTGTGCTCAGCAGCATTGTTCTTTAAGGCAGCCAGATGGCTTGGTGCAAATCTTGCAAAAGCAGGTATTTTAAGGTTTTGTTTTTTGTTTTTTGCCTTCTGGGTTTCATATTGGAAGAAAGTGCAGTCCTTTGATATAGGAAAAGCCCTTTTTTCTAGCAATAATAATGGCAGCAGAAATCTCTTTCAGTAAGTGAAGAGAAAATGTACGTGGGTGAAAAAAAGAGAGTCAGGGTTCTGGGAATGTACTTCCAGGCCATGTTTCTGTATCCAGTATAGAACTGGGAAGGACTTTTTTTTTTTACTGCTCCAGACCATTTTAAGTAAACTATAATATGTTTGTCCCTAATAGAGGGCCCCTGAGGATTCAACTTCTAAGTTAATATATATAGAATAACTATGGTTTGGAGACTTCCTTAATACAGCAATGTGAGCGTAAATAGATTGCACCCCTTACTATTCAAGCAGTACTACTCAGTTTTGTCTGGTAAAATTTGTCTTCCATTTCCTAATTGTAACATTGGCAAGATGCCATTGCTCAGATGGAGACTTTGACATGAGGTTGCCTGATCGCTTAAGCTGTACAGACTCAGCCTAGAGCTACACCCTTTGCTTTCTAAAGCCTATTCTTCTTATGTTGGCAGATCTCCATAAACGTTGACTATTTCATGGCAAAACCCAACGTTTTATAATCAAAAACAATATAAAGCTTACATAATGGACATAATGAGGATATGATTATTTGTCTTATAACCAACCCAAATTGTATAAGTAGTAGTTTTAAATAATTTAAGTAATTAGGTTGTGGGCTCTATTTCTCTTCCAGATTTGCACATAAAAGTAACAACATTAATTATGTTTATTTTACTGTGGTATAATTAAAGTAGAGAAAAGGGGCTGGGATTTTTGGATTCCTACTATTTAGGAAGAAAGATTTCTCCTCTCCATCATACCCTCAAATGGTTTTTGGAAAGCTTGTCTAGTTCTGGAATTCCCACTACTATAGTCATTGCCTTAGAAACATAAGTGCATAACCAATGGCTTCCTGGATGAGATCTCTGACTCAACTAGTCCAGCTTTCTGTTCTCATAGTGGCCAACCAGTTGCACAAGGAAGCCCACTAGTCTTCCAACATGTGGCCTTCAGAAGCGGTCCCAGGCTAATAAACATTGCTTCCCATGACTTCTGTCCATTCGTCCAAACCATTTTTGCAGCCAGTCAAGCTTGTGGTAGCAGATTCCAAACTTTAATTATGTGCAGTATAAAAATAAAATGTTCCTTTTGTCTGTCCTGAATCTTCCAGGATTCTGTTTTATTGGGAGTTCATCTTTCTTTATGAGAATGCTTTCTCAAAATTAAATTATGTCAATCAGTCCCACCTGTGTAGCCTTATAATTTGATAGAATGTATATTTCCACACACAAACACATCATGATATGATATCTAATTATTGCTTTAAACATATTGCTGCAGTTGCTGTTTTCCATGAATTTGTGGTGACTGCTGAATGCTTAAAAGGAACATTTTAGTTGCAAATACTTCCATTTTTCTCAACAGTTTGGAAGTATTGAATGAGTTCCAGAAGAATCTGTGCATGCTCAGATTTTTCTGAGAAATTCATTTCTAGAAGATGCCCCATAACTGCAAGTTCAAAAAAAATAAATGATAGGATCTGTCATGAAAATTTCCTTAAAGAAGGAACGTATTCATGAAACTTCCAGTTGTAAAAGCAGTTGTATCAAATTCCAAGTTTTGAATTTGGCAATTGCCATTCTGAGAAAAAAAATAAGAAAAGCTTTTTAGTCTTAAATAGCTAGTGGATTCACCATTGCATTTTTAATCCTGTTCATTCGCTTGTTTTCTGAAACCTGGGTGAGAGCTCAAAGTGTCTCTACCTCACTTGTTCAGACTGTAGTAGTTGCCTGCTCTTGATTAAATGGCTGGGATCCCTGAAACTCTATGTGGCATGTGGGGAACATGGACATGTAAGAAGAGATAAGATTGGTTTTTGTTACCTCGGCATTTTGAAAACCAAGTAAGGCAATCCTAATTTTTTTACAAGTTTATTTGTAGTTTTAAATGGCATTTTAATGTACAGGTAGTCCTTGACCTACCTCGTTTAGTGACCGTTCAAAGTTACAAAGGCACTGAAAAAGTGACTTACGACCATTTTTCCACACTTATGACCATTGCAGCATCCCCATGGTCATGAGATAAAAATTCAGATGCTTGGCAACTGACTTTTGTTTATAACCGTTACAGCATCCCTGGGTGCCGGATCACCTTTTGCAATCTTCTGACAAGCAAAGTCAATGGGAAAGCCAGATTCACTTAACAATTGGATTACTAACTTATCAACTGCAGTGTTTCATTTAACAGCTGTGGCAAGGAAGGTCGTAATATGGGGCAAAACTCACATTTAACAAATGTCTCGCTTAGCAACAATAAATTTGGGCTCAATTGTGTTCGTAAGTAAAGGACTACCTGTACTTTGGTTTATTTATCATCTTGGTGGCATCTCTGGGGAAGTTTCTAATAAATAAATAAATGCTGATACCTTCCCAATATTAGGACATACCATTGGAGCTGCAAAAATCAATGTCAAAGAATTAATGTTTTCTGTAGCTTTTTCCAGCCATTCTAATGGCCATCCATATTTTTACAACATGTATAATTTAACCCATTAAGTATTATGCTGATAGGCCTACAGACCAGCAATTGTAATCTAGAACAGAGCTGATTACAATGGAGCTTTTTCAATTATTTGGATTGGATTTGGGGCTCTTAGAGTAGTATGGATTTAATAGGTAAGTCTTTATCATGTGTTCAGCCAGAGATCACTAGCTGAATCCTGGAGAGATCTGTGTATGCTATTTTCTACCATCTTGGAAACAATAACTCCTTACAAGTCAGACTTGTTAAAAGAGGCTCGTTTTGGTCTATTGAATGAATCTAGTATTCATTAATATGCCACTCAAAGGAGTGAGAGAGAACCTTGTTAAAAAGAGACTCTTGCTTCCCACTGAAGTCTCCTTGATTTATATTATTTAACAGTTGAGGTCTTCAAGCATCTTTCTTCCTTTTCAACATTGTTTCTTCCCCTCTGCTTTCTTACAGTGAAAGAGTTTCTTGCAAAAGCCAAAGAAGAATTCCTTAAGAAATGGGAGAATCCATCACAGGTATGGTGGTGCCTTGCATTTCTCATAGTCAACTCTTTTTTTTTGTCTGTAGGAATAATGAAATGAAAATTGTTCTTCAGCCCAATTTTAAAATGACAATGGGTATGTAGAGGGAACCACACATTATTAAATTTCCATTGGACTGAAACTGCATTTAAACAAGTTTGTCAAGAATTCTAATGTTGCCTTATAGAATGCTGGCACACTTAAAAACCAGTGCCATGATTGTAGATGTATAGTTTAATGAAAAGGTACTCCTTCTTTCAGATATTTTGAATCTTTGTATTATCTTTATGAAAACTTATATGGCTCCAACTGATACACAAAGGAAACAAAATCCACCTTTCCAAATTTTGGAAATGGTTTCATTTATTTCATAACAGAATAATCCAACATGTACTATCGTCTATATGAAAAAATAATGATCCTACCCCCCCATCAGTCAGTTCAGTTGAAAGGATACCAGTATGCATTTCAGGTTGCTGGTGGTTACCTATAAAAACCCTTCCTAACTTGGAGCAGGCTACTTACTGGAGCATCTCTCCACTGGGGCATTTGTATCCTGTTAAATCTAGCAAGAGAGGCATATTCTGGGTCCCATGCCTGAGAAAAAGTCATCTTTTGGGACCCAGAAGAAGTGTTGTTTCTCCTTTGAGACTCATCCCTTGGAACATCACCCACTCAGAAATTATTTTACTGGCCTTTCACAAGTCACTAAAAACACAGCTTTGTTATTAAGCCTGGGGAGGTGACAAATATGTTTTGTGGTTATGCTGAGTGTTTAGGAGTGAGCCTGTGTTCTGGTTAGACTGAGAGTTTTTGGCTGCTGTCTTATGCTATTTCTGTTATTATTTATTCTGGTTGTTTTTATTGTTTTTATTCTGCTTTAATTGTTAGCTGCCCAGAGTTGTGTATATGAGATGGGGGCCATATAAATTTCCTAAATAAATAAAGGCCTATATGGGAGTGAGTGCTATATTAAATAATTGAGGCTATCTGTACAATTAAAAATTTACCCATGGTTCAGATTCCTGATCTTGTTATTTAATTGTGATTTTGTTTAGTGTTTTATATGTAAATAATCTTGAAATATATAACATGTTTTTTCTCTTTGAAGGACATTATTTTCCATAAATTTAGTTTGTAGAAGTTACCTGTCACTAAGAATCAGCAGTGTTTATCAGGATGGTTGCATGTACAAGGAGTGGACAAATGATACAAACTGTTCAAAAATATTCAGTTGCCCGCAGACCATGTTCTAAGTAACAAAATGTAGTTCTCAACCTCAGAGTCTTTTCTCTCTGTTCCACTATCTAGCCTGGTTGCCTAACTAGCGCATTGGGATTTATTATGCTGTTAGACTACAAACTCCAGGTTGTGGTGGTCTTATTTTACTATTTGATAAGTGTTGTTGGCTAGAGCTAAAATATATATTAATCTATTCTTGGTGGATTAAGTTTGCTTGTTCTGTTTGTCCTAGCCTACTGAAAGGATTTACATCTTGTGCCCTCTAGTGGTAGAAGCCTAACTCTTCCAAATCCTACATAAGAGATTGATAATAGATGAAAATAATAGTTGAACACTTGGCCCGAACATAGAAGTGGTGGAGGCCTTTGAAATCACCTATAATATAGCAAAGGAAGTGGGCTATCAATCAGACAAAACCTAATCATCCCACAACTTGAAGCTTTGTCTCTCCAAAGGTAGTAGCTATAGCCTGTTATACGAAGCCATTTCTCCGTCTTTCTCCTTTTTGCAGAACACATCCAGTTTGGATCATTTCGACCGGCTCAAGACCCTGGGTACAGGCTCTTTCGGAAGGGTGATGCTTGTGAAGCACAAGGACTCTGGAAATTATTTTGCCATGAAAATCCTTGATAAGCAGAAAGTAAGTCTGGACGTGCTGATGATCATTGCTTTGCAAAGCAGGATTGAAGAGGAAGCTGTACCTGACTTGATCTTGTTTCTGTATTGTAGGTTGTTAAACTGAAGCAGATTGAGCACACCCTCAATGAAAAACGCATTCTTCAGGCTGTGAACTTCCCATTCCTTGTCAGGCTAGAGTATTCTTTCAAGGTAGGTGATGTCAAGTAACAGTCTTTCTCTCTCCCCTGCTGGATTCGCAATTCTCTGAACATCTGTTGATCTAAAGTCATCAGAAATTTGGCTCCAAGGAAGAATTTTCCTTTTTAGAGACAGTGAGCAGATGAACAGAGTGAGTATCTTCACGTAGTGTCCTTTGCAATTAAAACACATTCAAACATTTAGCAAAACTTATACTCATCATAAATTTTCTGCATGCAGTAGAAGGGAAATAACAGTGTTATTTAATGTTGAAGTGTCAATCCTGGAAATAAGTCTGCCCCTGAAATGAATGTGCAACATTCTGAAATGTGTATAAAATGTCTTAGTGATGATTTCATAGTGGCAGCCTAAGGGGAAAAAAAACTTTGAAATGACCAATATGAAGCTGCCATAGTGAGCATATGGGTTTAGGATACGTAACATGACATCATACTGCTTTACAGGCTTGACCATTCAAAATGCTCTAAGGCACAGGTGTCAAATTCAATTGCGTCACGTGATGTACCGTGACGTATTGTGATGTTTTTTGCCTTTGCAGAGCCAGTCTGTGTAACGCATCCGGCCCGCGGGCCGCCAGTTTGACAGGTCTGCTCTAAGGGTTTCTATTACTTAACCCACCTGTCAGACCAGATTATAAAAAGCCATTAAGCTCAACCTATCTTTGCTGTAAAGCACAACATGAGTTTTAAAATCCTTCTAGTATTCTCCATGTTTATCACATAAGATGGGCTAACCTGTCTTGATATTGTATCTGGGCTTTGCTAAAAACCTTGAGGTCCACCAGATGCAGAAGAATAGATCTAACATGAAAGACTTATGAGTCCAAGAATGTGTCCTGAAGCAACAAGCTCATGGCCTTTCCAAACAAAAATCCTCTCTGGGTTAATCACTTCCTTTGTCCAAACATTTTATATTTTATTCCAATATTTTAATTTATGATTGAAGGAGAGTTGTTAAACATCTAGGAGCAACAAGTCATCTTTATCTATTGGACATCACCAAAAAGCTTACCAAAACATCCTGATCTACCTTCTGCACAACCTTGAGCTAAGATTATGAACTAAATACTTGTTTGAAAATATGCCCAGTTGAGATCAGTGCTAGTTATTTCCTCAAGCATTGCAGTCCTTGACAATAAAATACCAGTGTAAATGACTCAATTTGCCTGAGACGTTGTACGTAGTTTATGCAGTATCAGAACTGTACAACTTGTAGAGAGGAAAGGGCCACATTGATAAATTAAAAATCACCATGAACTCTAAAGGAATATCTTCCTGCCAATCTGCTTTTCCATAGCTAACCAGTGGTGGGATGCTGCCGGTTCGGACTGGTTCACACGAACAGTAGTTCCAACGATCAGTTGGCCCCGGCCCCGCCCTATCCTGTTTTTTATTTCCTGCTTTGTAGCTCATCTCAATTGCGTGACACAGTTGATCCCCCACCCCCCACTGTTCTACTTACTGTTGCTGACTTGGAAGGTAAGCAGCTGAGCTTCTAAATGCTCCATTTTCAGTGCTGCATGCAAGCGCACGCTCACCGAACCAGTTGTTAAACCAGCAGCATTCCACCACTGTAGCTAACGAAGTAACGGCAGTGCTGGAGGTGGTGATTATGCTTCGAGATGCTTGGCAGTACATCTTTTGGGGCAGTGGGTAATAGTGAATATATTACTTTGTTAAAAACACCCTCCAGTCTGCACAAAACTCCTTGGTGAGACACATGATGTACAAGCCTTGTATGTTATATAACATCTGTTGACTCTAGAGATAAGGATTGAAAGTTGATTCTAAACAATTGTTTATTTAGTAATTAGTCACTTTTAAATTTATGGCAGTGACTTCCTAACAGCAATATTTAGGACTGAAGTCTTACATTAAAATGTATCTCTGCATATTTAATTTGTCCCATTGTGGGTGAGAATAACTGAACTGTGTAATAATGTGTAGAACTGAAATAGAAGTGGTAATCAATGGGTTCTTATGCTACTTCTTAAGGTTGCAGTAGCATTAAGGACATAGAATGCAGGTAGTCTTCAACTTACAACCACAACTGACCAAAATTTTCATCCCTAAGCAAGATAAGTGAATTTTGCCCTATTTTACAAACTTTCTTCCCATAGTTGTTGACTGAATTACTTCAGTAACCTGTTTGTTAAGTGAATCTGGCTTCCCCATTGACTTTGCTTGTCAGAAGGTTGCACAAGGTGATTACCGCAACTGTTATAAAACAGTTGCCAATCATCTGAATTTTGATCATGTGACCATGGCAATGCTGCAATACTCATAAGGGTGAAAAATGGTCACTTTTTTCAGTGCCTTTGAAACTTCAAATGGTCACTGAACAAATGGTTGTGAGGACTACCTGTAGTTATCAAGCCAAGGTCTATTCTAGTCCAACATTCTGTTTTTCATAATGGCCTCCAGATATCACTGGTGTCACATAGACAATTGAGGGTGACATATCCCTCTTCCTCCATTGTTGCCCTACAATTGGTATTTGATAGCCCATACTCAATTTGTTGTCTATTTATTTATTTGTGTTCCTGGTGGTCATGATCATGTCTTATAATATTTAATTCCACAGAATAATTGATAAAAAAGTCACTTTCTTTGTTAGATTACCTCTGGCTCTAGTGTTTTGAGAATGTGAGGAAAAGAAAGCCTGTCCACTTTGTCCATGCCATATCTGATTTTACATGTCTAATATTCTAGCCTTCAAAGGGAAAATATTTGAATTCTCTGATCATTTAGTTATCCTCATTTGTACTTATTCCAACTCTGTTATATCACTTTTTTAAACATAGCAGCTCTAATTGTAAAATATAATATTGCTATTTTTATTAAATTTACTGCTTGACGCCTAGCAATATCCCAATTATTGACAGTTTTATTTTCAGTCTAATTTCTAATGATTCCTAGTGGAAAATTTGCATTTTTCACAGCTGCCGCAGACTTAGTTGACCTTCATTTATCTGCAACCTCTAGAGTGTTTTTTTGTTAGTTGCATACAACTCAGACCCAATTTCTATATAAGAAAAATTTACTGGGTTTGGGGATAATGCACATCACTTTACACTATTTAAATAGAACTGAGTTTCCAACAAAATTGATATGCTCTGGGTGCGTTCCAACAAGCAATGGCAACTAATGCAATCCAGGAAGAATGCTTTCTCTTGATATGGTACCTACCCTTTGGAACAGCATGTTGCCCCACCCCACAACCTCCCAAAATTGGATAGCCCTATTGGCTTTTATTAAGGTTGTGGAAAAACTGTGCATGACAGGCCAGAGTGTTGAATGAATCTATTTCTAAAGGCACTGTATTATATGGATTGGTGTCCTCTACCAATTTTTTTCTGTTTCTCCCATGTGTTTTTATTATTGTTTTTTAAGTTGTTTGTTAGTTGCTCTGACTTGTTTTTGGATTGTGTGGCCATATAACTTAAATAAAAAAGAACTGTTTTTTTTTTGTGTGTGTGTGTGTGTGTGTGTGTGTGTGTGTGTGTGTATTCCCAGGTTTTCAAATGTAGACATTGCTGGTGGGGCAGGAACAATGCATTTTTACACAAAGGGAATAGATTGAAAGTAAAATTAAACATATAAAGATTGGAGAAAAGTAAACAATGCAAAATGTTCCATTTCTGGAACAATTTGCTATTCCAACAGCAAAATGAAGGTTGGAGTACTCTGTAAATTAGCTTGGAATGTTTCCTGAGTTGGAACATTTGTAAGATTGAATTGTTTGTTGTCATATCTCTAGTAAATTAGCCATAACGAAAGAGGTAAAACATATTGATATTGAATTCTAAGCAGTAAAATCCGCTCTGGAGCCAGCTTAGATCCATAGGCGTTGTAAAAATAATGGAGGGGGGGATTTCCTTTGTAACTATAAAGCAAGATACTTGGATTCATTGCTTGCATCAGTTTGCAAGATAATTAATTCTGTTTACAATAAATTCTTCCTTCCTCTTTCTGCACATTACTGCATTACTTTAGAAAGGTGGGTTGTCTTTTTGTAATAATTGATTAGTTGTGTATCTGGAATCATCAGAGGTGAAGGGGGGGAACAAAGCGCTGCTTGTTATTATCACTCTTAGTTTATTTCTGCATTCAATTACAGGATAATACAAATCTGTACATGGTGATGGAATACATCCCAGGTGGTGAGATGTTCTCCCACCTACGACGGATTGGCAGGTTCAGGTAGGTGTATTCCCTACAGGGATGGAATTATGCTAGTGGGAACAAAGGAACTGGGTATTGTAGTTCTTATATTTGATTCCCAGGTATTAAAGGAGGGAGCAAACCCAATAATCATTTTTCCAGTTTCTTTCACCTTGTACTTAAGTATATCTGGGAAAAAATCTATGAATGTTTTGGCATATCCTGCTAATCTCTGATACAGAGTCATGCATTTTGAGAGAAAGTCAAAAGATAGGATAGAAACTGTTTTATGGCTAGATGGCCAAGCCTGGTAGGGTCACTGGAGCTTAACACTTTTCATCAAATGATATTGATTGATTTGGGCATAACATTGGCAAAGTCAGTAAGACAAAAACTTTAGTTTAGAACTGCTCTTCTAAGACAGTTGATGAAAAAGTTAAGTTTGTATTTCAAAAGGGGAAAGGAACATCTGGCTCCTTGTTAGTGCCTGGGGAACAATGTACAACAGGGGTGTCAAACTCAAGATCCAGGGTGCTTAGATCTGGCCCGTAGGGCAGCCCTAGAAACATCGAAGGACCAGCAAAACGGAGCTCAGGAGGCCCTCTCAGGCTCTATTTTCAGCCGCGACAGCCTCCTGCAGCCCTGTGCCAGGAAAAACTGAGCTCGGGGAAGGCACGCATGGCACACCGAGGCTCCATTATTGGCTGCAATGGCCTCCTGCAGCCCTCTGCCAGTAAAAATGGAGCACGAGGAGGCTGTTGTGGCCAAAAATGGAGCCTGGGCGGGCTGCGCGCAGTCTCCACAGGCTCCGTTTTTGCTGGCAGAAGGCTATAGGAGGCCATCACGACTGAAAATGGAGCCTCAATGAGTGATGTCAAGCTGGCCATGCCCCTCCCGGCCATTCCCCCGCCACCGCCCCCCAAGGTCAAACACAACCCTGATGTGGCCGTCAATGAAATCAAGCTTGACACCCCTGGTGTAGAAAGAAAGCTAACTGACATTTGGAAATAAGTAATGAAAATATTTCTCCCTGTTTTCCTGTTGTTTTTTTACAGTGAACCTCATGCCCGGTTCTATGCCGCTCAGATTGTGTTGACTTTTGAGTACCTGCACTCACTAGATCTTATCTACCGAGACTTGAAGCCTGAAAATCTCCTCATTGACCAGCAGGGCTATATTGAGGTAGCACTATTTCATATCAATTTCACACTCATATTCAGCACTCTTAAGAATTATTACCCATGTCAATAGTCTGGGACAGTGAACATTAAGTGCAAATTTGACCACTAGATTATATTCACAGGCCATGACTGAACAAAATAGGCATGTGTGAGCAGGCGGCAATATAAATTTTCTAAAATAAAATAGCAATAGCACTTAGACTTATATACTGCTTCACATGCTTTATAGCCCTCTCTAAACAGTTTACAGAGTCAGCATATTGCCCCCAACAATCTGGGTCCTCAAAATAAATAAATAATAAAATAAACTGACTCAGCATGATCCATGAACTAAGCTCCTGCCTCTGATTATTTGAGGCTTTAGGTAGTGTGCTTGCTTAATAACACCACAGTGGAGGGGATTGACTGATTAACAACAGATGCCATCCTGCTCCCACCCTCCCCATCTTTTAATTGGGCTGCTGTATGTTTTATTTTATATGTATTTTGCTTATACTTTGTACAGTTTTAATTTTTTTATGATTGTAAGCCACCCAGAGTTACCCTGAGGAACCTCAGGGTATTGGGCAGCCAATACATTTTCTAAAAAAATAAATAAATAAACCCCAATTGGGATAAATAACCTTGCTGCTAAGTGAAGGGCTTTCTAAGTAGGAAATGATGTGACTGCAAGAATCCTTTCTGGCTAGAAAGAGAGGACTACTCAGTTTTACATCTTTTGCTTTTGTTTGCCTCCTAACCATCCCCTGTCCTTTGGAATGCTCAAGTGCTTATTGTCTTGTACGCATTGAAAGGAATGCAGTGGTGCCACAGCCTGGGACTGGCAACTGTGGACAGGCTAGAGCAGGGGTCCCCAACCACCGGTCCGCGGACCGGTACCGGTCCGTGGAACAAGTCCTACCGGGCCGCTGGCTTGCTGGGCGCCGCCATCTTGTTTTGATGAAAAAGTGCTTCCGGTGA